AAACTTGGATGCTTGTCTTGGGATGGCAGGTCTGAGACACAAGGCAGAGACAATTTTGAGACAGGTTGCTCAGTCCAGCCCTGAGCCGGCCAAAAAAGGCACAGAGAAGCTAGATCGACGCGAGCTGTGGGTGTGTAGTAGGTGTAGGCGTGTGTGCGGATAGCTTAGGCGTGGGCGAACAGGCTGAGAAGGAGAGAGACAGAGACATGTCTGCCTACTGCGAGTCCGCGGTGGATTATCCCAGCAGACTGACCTAACCCATGGCGGCCACGCGAGGTTCGATTGGTGCATCTCGCCTTACAGCAGCGCCGCAGGGCCTGGGCGCAGATGTCTTTGCTGTCATACATGAGCCACCTACTGCGGTAGACGCAAGTGTGCCCCTCCTTTTTATCGATATTCCTCTTTGGAGTTGTTTTGATATCAGAAAAGAATTACCCGGGAAGGGAGGTCATGTCATGGGCCGCTTGGTATGGCCGGGCAGTGTCCTGATTGAAATCGATCTGCCTACTCATTGTTCGGAAGGACGCGTCGTCGTGGTCTGCTCGAACGGGCACCGGGCAACGAGATAATTGCTCCAGACTTTGGATCTGGATCCGCCAGGTGAACTCGAGCCGTGATGATGAAAATTCAATGGGCCCTCCTTCAGCAGGCGGGAAATGATAGAACAGCGGTCTGGTCTGGGTGGTAAAATAATGTGGTGCGGCCTCAGGTTTCCAAGAGAGGTCAGCGGCCGGCCGGCCTCATTCCCCCATTGTCAAAGGTCCGGTGAACCTTCATCAACACTGACGAACCCTCCTCTATCTTCCGTTCAGATCGGAGGTGGCTCTGTCCAATGGCATCCCACCACTGGATGCAAATGACGTTGAAAGAAGGCCAGGTGTGTTGTCTTCTTCGAAATGGAGGGGCAGGGATGAGATGTGGCAGAGAGGGAGCCGGAGAGAGAGGGCGAGACGGAGGGGTCCATGATGTCTCTTTTTTGGTGTGCCCCTCACACCCCTCATCGAAAGAGCTACCCTGCCGGCTCAGCTCCAAGACGGGGTACGAATACAGATTACAGTACATGGCACACAAGGGGGACGCCAGCGTAATCACAAACTTGTATTCCCGAGCCACCGGATCCCGCAGGCCATGGTTCACAAAAAGCCCCGGGCTATGGATGCTGGCTTTGGGAGGACACGCACTGGTTTCGTTCCACAGCTGGCTTCTTTCTGTACTACAAGATGTGTCTGGCGAGACAAGAGACTGTATGTAGAGACTGACGGTGAGAGACACCTCGGCACGGTCATCGTATCACTTCTATGATTTCTGTTTAGCCGCGTTAAACCGGGGATTTATTGTAAGACAAATGAAGCTCGGTGGAGTGGTCTCTTAGGCCAAGGCAGGGCTGGAGAGAGACTTGGATAATAATAACAATAAGTGCTCAAGAGAGCTCTGTCTCGGAAGCAGTTCCGGACGTAGTGAGGGTATCTCCACTTTAGTATCACTACGAATACAGAGCCTACACAGAAAGGGTCCGTCGTTGGCACACGGAATCTTGGTTGACTAGGGGTCTTCCGATGCCCACTCGCTTGGCAAGCGAAGAGTTCAAATCAGATGATTTTGGTGAGGCAGGCGGGTATAGACAGGATCCCTAGGAGGTGTACATACATAGTCCGTTCATTTATCCCATCTCTCATTCGATGTCAGCCAAAGTAATGTGTCATGGCCAAAATACATGAGACGAAAAGAGTCCCATCGGCTTTTGGGATAGGGTCTACCGTCTATCAAAAAAGTCAGGTCACGCCAACAGACATGCGGACGCCCCTCCATCGTCCCCGCTTCGTGAGAGCCGGCCGCTGGAGTGGAGCAAAGTGTGGAGAGTGAAAGAAGTGAGAGAGAGGGAAAAGCTGGGATTGATCATTGATCCAGATGACAGGGTTCCAGAAAGAGGTCAATTGACGAATCACATTTGGGGACGGCTTCTACGGCGAGCGCTAAGAGACTAAGAGCTAGCTCTGTCAGGTCGGGCAAGAGACGTTTGGCTTTTTCTTTGGTAGCAGCACCAGTTAGCAGCACCCTTTTTGCTCTACTCTGCAGTAGCTTGGTGAGACTTTCTCAGGGAAAGACCATGGAGGTAAGGCAATCGGCGCTGGGCGGCATCACCTGCTCAGGTTGAACCAGGTGAGGTGGTGAGATGCCTGCCGCAATCGAGCGATGGTTGTGGGTGGCTTTGTAGATGAGGTAGATGAGATGAGTGACACGGCGAGTGAGTGAGAGTAACGGATGTGAGTGAGAGTGAGCGAATGCATGATTGAGTGTAAAAGTCATTGGTAAGAGGAGTGAGTGAATGGCATCGTTGACGCCTTCCACGGTGCTTCCAGATTGATTCGGGAAGGAAGCCACGGGCGATTCGCTGACTGACACGACCCCTTGCGGCAAGCTGCAAGCTGCACGCCGCCAACCTCCTCTTTGCTTCTCATCTTCTTGACGGCTCCCCATGCTCCGTGGAGAACCAAGCAGCAGTACCACTACTCCGTAGCAGCAGCAACAACGAGCTACAAGCTACGAGCTACCTTACGACAAGTCATCAATAACAAGAAAAGAGTTGGCCCGCGGCAATCTTGCCGTGGCTCGACCTCTGCGCGCATGACCTTATCTGACTCTGCTTTTCTCACCTGCATTGACAGATCGCGGTTGCGAACGGCCAAGTACCACAGTACCTGCCTCTCTCACACTTCGATTTCCTAGCCTTTACGAAGGGTGTATTTACCAATTGGCTTACAAGACTCAAGGCAGAGGCACAAATACCTGAGATATCAGGGTGGGTTACTGAGAGAGAGAGAGACACACACACATTCGCACATACGCATACATGCACACACACACACACATGAAGAGAGATCGAGAGAGAAAGAGAGAGAGAGAGAGAGAGACGCGGCAAAGATGGGCGAGGGGTGTGGAAAGCAGAAAAAAGGCCAGTGCATTGCATGTCAAGAGAGAACACCCTGCCTTTTTGGATCGAGGTCTCGCCGGGCTTGGTTTCCTGATTTCCCTTGGATTACCTTCCAGGTTCATCAAAGCAACACCGTCGAGCGGCACTGCCAGCTCATCATTGCATGGTGTGGTCTGCGTCCCAAGGGCCTGCGCTTGCTTTGGCCCGGCCTAGTTGCAACTTGTGCGTTTTCGCGCGCGCCCGCTTGCACCAGCCAGCCGTTGCGCTGCGTCTGCCTGCCTGCTGCTGCTGCTACTGCTGCTGCTGCTGGTCCTTACTTGTTGTAGGTATGTCTGCTTGCTGCTACTACATGTTATTGCTGCTGCTGCCAAAGGTCTTCATGGATCCGTACTGATGCACCGGCACCCACATCACCAACCCACGTCCAAGGTATCCGTACCCGTCATGTCATGTCCGTGGTGCGGAGTACGTACTGATTCTCTCTCAGGTACCTTACCTAGGTAGGTACCTTACTGCCTCCAGATTGCTCTTTCCCATTGCGAGTACCCAAGATACGTACTGAACTTACGTGACTGTGCAAGTACCCATGTTTCTTCGTCTCCTCCTCTGCACCACCACGTCGTCCGCCTCCTCTTCCGACAACCAACAACATACGAAATGGAGACGATGGGGACATCGACATCGACGACGGCAACAACAACTTGTAATTACCGCTCACCTCGTACGGCGGATACTCGACAACAACCGAGGTCACGTTCGTCTCGTTTCCCCACGCCCACCATCCACCAACTACGGAACAACAGCACGACACAGAATACACAATATCAACCACTCCAACGTCTTGTTCGAACCCTCCGATAGCCTCCTGTCCCCCTCCATCGGAGGTACCTGACCTTACCTGACCTCACCACGCATTCACGGCCTTTTCAATGCATACAGACCTAGGTATTCACCGTCCTCACACCCCTCTCGGTGGTGTCGCCGTCGTTGTCCGTTTTCGGCCATCTAACGGTCTGCATTCGCGTGGCTTTATTTTTTCTTCTCCCCCTCCTCCTCTTATCCTGCCCCTCCACACTCGCCGCCATCATCGCTTTAGTTATTTAACTTTTGCCTCACCTTACAGCAGGAGAGAGGGTCCTTTTTCGATCTAGGTAGTCTGCGGCGAACACTGTAACTCTCGCAATATACCAGAGAGAGGGGAAGTGGACAGAGGGACATGCTTCTTGCATATGGAGAAGCGAGATATAATTTGCCCGCGGAGCCGATTACAGCGCACCCCCTCCCTATCGATTCCATGCTACTCATCCCACTCCGACGTGAGGAAGCAACATTGGCTCGGGTTCTCAAAATCAGAGAGGGGGAAGCTATTCCATGTTGATGGATCTCGCCGCCCCCGTCGAACCCACTCTCAAAGCCATCTCTCGGCGTTCAGAGTGTTCATGCACGTCGTCTGCTACCCTCTTAGCTCACGGTGACAAGACTTGAGAGATGACCTCTTCACCGACCTTGCAATCCTGCCCGCGGGGGACGATGCCGCCTGCCGGGGGCCCTTGAACCTCGAACGGAGGCCCGCCGTTCGGTCACCAGGTGCCACCGACTTCACCTTATTCCCTGGCGGCCGTCGCCCCCATCATTCATGGGATTTGAAAATCAGTATTGGCAGAACCCTGGGAGTTGCAGCCGCCGCACCATGAACAACCTTAGAGATCCAGCGTCTCGCCGTCGACTACCGCTCGCTCGCTCTCCTTCGTCCCTCATCGCTCCGGGGGTCTCTATTTTAGGCGGCACCCTGGCTCGCACTCTGAGCCAACGAACGGCCGGTAGCCCAGCAAGCGCTGATTTGCCGCTCTAGGGCGGTACCTTGATCCGTCACCGCAACGAGCCCAGTCTGTATCTGTACCGGAGTATAACTGCATTCTCGCTCCCCGGGGGTGGGGGGGTTCTCCATTTTCTATGCCGGTGATTCGCTGAGCTATTGGAGAAGGATTTCGATTTTGGCCGTCTCTGACTGGATACAATTGCTAGCCTACGAGACAACTTTGGCCGACAGGCGGTTTTGACTTTGATGATGCCGTGCGAATCGCCCGCCATCGCTGCACATCATTGGGAGCCACCGATGATCCCAAACGTGGGCCCCGGCGCCTGGCGCTGTCCTCACCCTGTCCCAGCTAGCATCGAAGCGCACGGCCAGGCCTTGCCTGACATGGCACAGACGAACGCCAATTCTTCGACTTCTAGGTTCATCGTCCTTCTCTCTTGGTATCACAATGTCACCTTCCAAGTTGCCGGAGACGCTTCACATCGTACGGATACCTCCTCTTCTTCATGGTTCCAATCCCCCAACCTCGGGTCCCGCAACACAAGCGAGCAGCAAGCAGCAGCAGGATGGGTCATGGGTGGCATGGTGAATTCAATCTCGACGTTTGGCTTGGTTTGGGGGGTCCTCTTCTGCTCAACTCCGAGTCCGAACCCACCGCATGCGTCCTGCTGCCCCCGCAGAGACGCTCGTTGACCGCAGTCAACAAATGCACGCAAGCCTAAAGTAGCGAGCAATGTACATGGCCTCATACGTACATACATGACGATGGATGGCATATCTCAACAACAACATATTGGCGCTCGGCCTGTGACAAAACGACCAACAATGAGCGGTGGAAACATTGGACAACACCAGTGACGGTGACAATGACAGCAACGGTACCATGGAGCCGACAAAGACGGCACGTCTACGGTCTGACAGGTTGCTGAGGAATTGTCCACAAGTGCGAACCGGCCCTTTACTCGATAGTTGATTACAGGTGCAGTAGTCGCCGCTAACACGAAAAATTTAGGGCATCGATTTCGCATCAGTCATCCTTTGTCTCTTTCTCTCTTCTCCACGGTCACTGGATAGGGCATTCCTATACACTACTAGGCACATCCCTCTTCGGAGGAGCCAGAAAAGCAAATAAGCATGCTCTGGCGTTTTGACTCGCCGCCAGCCCGAAACAATTCAATCAAAGGCCATGGAAGCCCGGACTCGGGACCAGCGTATCCCGCACGTCAAGTAAACTCTTCGACGAGAGTTACTTGGCAGATTCTTCGATCAAGTAACAGCAACGTACCAGACCTCTTGTGCGCCGCCGGAGGAGGACCAGCTCGCCTCGCCAGATTGGGGTCCTACATGTCCGTATGGTTCCATTTTGCCACCGGCTTTGCAGATTTGCAGCCCTCGTCAGTCTCTTCCTCTTTTTTGTTTTTCTCTCAGTCCTTTTCGTCTCACAATTCGCCCTCGACATTTCTGCTGTAGCCCCAGAGAAGCTAAGGCAGCCCGCTATGCGACCCGGCGGGCCACATGGTCGGAGAGACTTCGTCCAAAGTTTCGGCCATGTACGTATGTACCAGAGGCGCGCGCCTTTGCTTGTGACGATGATGTCGTGGGCAAACCACAAGCTGGGCCCAAAACAGAATAAAGTGTAAGTCGGTCGATGTTCGGCGGCACGACCGGCGGCAGCACAGATTACATTTCGAAAAGTCGAAGTGCCCTAGAAGGAGAAGCTTGAACGGGACCGTCAAGCGCCACGAGCAGCGACAAGCTCTGTGGCTCCTCCTACGCATCTGAAGACCGAAGCAATGTCGGACCTTGCGGTCAAGTCCCGTACGGGGCAACGTTATCGAGATACCTCGTCGATTCTCCAGTCCAGGCCTCGATACTCATCTGCTACAGGTCAGACTCTCCAACGAACGACCGGGCCTCGAGATGAGCGACCAGGGGACTGGGCCAGCAAGACTGGAGAGAGTGGGAGACTAATGGACGAGCAGGGGGCCTTTCCCTCCAAGTCTCAGCAGCAGAGAGACAGATCTTCGTCGGCCCATCCCTGGCCCTTGGGCCCTTGCCCAGCGATGATGCTGGTACCCCCCTCCCCCCCTCTTCAGTGTGTCGTTGTGGAGCTGTCTAGTCTCCAGCGGTTTTTATCAACTGGCAACGAGGCGAGCCAACGCAGCAAAGCATGGGTCACACTCTTTCGAGAGCCGCATCGCCGCTTGCATCTCGAACCAAAAAGAATTAAGAGAGAGAGAGGAAAAAAAAGAGAAGGGGGCATTGAGAGAAGCGCCCCCATTGTCATTGTGCACTTCTTTCCGCAGTGCCCGTTTTTTTCTACCTCTCTTGCTCTCCCCCCCTGTCGGTTCGGCGTCTGGCTTTCCATGTTCACGTCCCTGCCCAGACTCCAGAGATGCAGCAGACTGACCGAACAGACGGACAGAAACGCCCTGTATGTCGCTTGCTTGTTGACCTTTTCCTCGTTCGTCTGTCTTCTCCTCCTCCTAGCCAAGGTAGTGAGGTACACAGCTCCATTCCCCTCTTTCTTGCTTGGTCCCTCATTTCCTTTTCCTGCCGCTGCCGTTGCCGCCGAAGCTCTCCAATACCACATACTGCTACGGATAGTGTCGATGTTATGTCCAAGTACCTTTACCAAGTTGATGCTGGACCTGGACCTGGACTTGAACTTGGACTTGGACTTGGACTTGTTGTTGCTTGACCACCACCACCACCCCCTCCACCCCTCCCCCCTTGCCCCCGCACTAGTTCCGTTGACAAGCCCAGAAGCACGAGAGAGAGAAAGAAAAAAAAAGAGAAAGGCACCTCTTTTTTTTTCTGCAATAAAGCAGACACATGTCTCTCCGTTCATGGCTCAGATGCTTTCCTGCAACCCGAGAGACGGAAGCCCTGGATACGTAGCTTAACTTACAACACCACCCACCCACACACACCACCTTCAATACTCCGTACACGCACACACGCACAAGTAACAACACATCAACACCCCTTCCACCGACTTTCTTCATCTTGTCCCCCCATACCTCTTCAGGCTTTTACTTCTCCAACCTGGGAACCACGAAAACATCGAGAACCTTAGCCGATTCCAGCTCACTTTCTCCTACCTTACATCTCGTTGAACAACTCATACCTTACATACTTGCCTACCCTCGACCACGCCCCGGATTTCTGCCCTACGCCTTACATACGACCCTCCCAGCATTGCTTTGGCGCGTGGTGCGTAGAGTGCGTGCCAGCTCAGCTCAGCCCAGCCCATCCCATCCCATCACATCCCCGACCACAGATCTCTCTGCTCGCCTCACCGTTGGGCTCGATTGCATCTCACGGCGTCCGCATCTTTGGTCCCCTTGTCTGGATAGGAATCAACCCTCGTCGCATTGCTTCACTTTTTCTTCCTTCTTGCTCTGAGACAAATTCTCTCCCCTGCTACGGTCTTTCCCGTCTCCCCCGTCTGGATCTGGACCTGCATCTCAGAACCACCACCGCTTCTCTTAATCGACCCATTGGGAATAACTGCCAACATGGGCGGCTTCTACATGCAGTACCTCGAGAGTAAGTCATCAATTGAGTTTTGTAGATGGATTGTTGGAGCCCAATGCTTCCCTGAACCTCGTCATCGCCATTGTCCGTATAAGTGGGGCTGTCCATGATGACCTGGAGAACTGGGTCAGATCGTGTGCCCTACCCCTGCATTCTGTCAATGGCGGGAATGACATGCGTCTCCCGTTTCGTGGTGACTCTCAACGAGTCGGGACGTGGCATTATGTCCGGGGATCGACGTCAGCTTCTCGCTGCGGCTCTCTTCAGGAACGGCATGCAGGGTTCGCAAGGGGGAAAAAGTCTGTGAGAGTGGATTGGGCTCGGATACAGATGGCATTCACGTCGTTGAGAGGCGTGTATCCGCTGTTCTCCCTCAGCTGTGCCATCAAGACTGGCTCGGAATGACTTGCAGAAGAAGATCAGGGGCTAACCGATCCAATCTAGGTCTTTGCCGGCGACGAGGATGGAACGACCCTTCTTACGAGTGTTACCGCGATCACAGCGGCTACACCTGCTTGGTTCTGGTCAACGGACGCGAGTACCAGACGGATCTCGCGTATCAATCCGACTCGTTGGCCCAGGAAAACGCCGCCATGCGTGCTTTCATGGTGTGCCGTAACTTCTCCGTCAACGGCGGCATGCTGGCTCGCAATGGCATCGTTCAGGGGCTTCCGGCCACTGAGCCTGCTCGCCGCTCCAAGAAGAGCCGCCACACGTCATCCAGTCACAGCTCGCGAGACAGCCACCGTCGATCTGGTCACCATTCGAGCAGCAGCTCTACGGCCTCTTTCGACTAAAGATAGGCAGGTAGCCTGAATCCCTGCGTTACGTGGCGGCAGGGATTCAAGACGACGACTATTATAAGGTGGAACAGCTTCGCAGCTGATTGAGCCTATGAAAGAAGACGACGCCTCCAGACGGCTGCTCTGGGAGGTCACAGGGTCAAAGAGAGATGTTGGGTGAGAAAACAAAACGGGCAAAAAGCGACGCATATTTTCCAACTGCGACGACTCTTCACGACTTAATGAACTAGAATCATGGTTTCCGCGCGGCACATCTGATTTCTGCACTTCATAACTCTTCCGGCCGGTCTCCTTCGAATTTCGGACAAAATGCGTTTCTTCTCTCGTCGCCTATTCTCGGATTCGACTTTTTTTCTCTCTTTACTTTCAAGACTTTTTGATGACCGCGCGCTTGGCTGGGATTGTACAGTACCAGTCAGGGGCTGTCCTTCATTTATCCGAACGGATCAACAACCGGAGGCGACTCTGGCCGACCGACCATCTTTCCTTCTTGACAATTCTTTCTGCATTGCGCATTTTGTTCCTCCTGCTCAGGGTACGCCCTCGACTAAGCTGGAACCACATTCTTCCTTCATTGCTTGCTCGAAAATGACGAATTACCACACAGATTGGAACATATGACGATGATGGGGCGGCTAGACTCACATGAGCTTGAGACGTGGACTCGGCATTTTGATTTTTTCTTCATTCTCTGCTCTTGTTTTCGAGACAAAAATCAGGGGGTCATTTGGGGCGGGAGGATGGCTTAAAGACGGCCAGAAGAGCCACGCCCCCTTACGCATTGCCTCAAAAGCGAAGCATACGTTTTTTTTCCCCTTCTTCTTTCTCCTGCATCTCCGACGAAATTGATGGTGCCTGGGAGAGGTTCAGCATCTCGAATTACATCTTACTTCCTTTTCCAAGGGGGTTCATTTACGATTATTACGCTTTTCGTACGACTTTTTGGGAGGATCTGACGAGACTGAATGAGGGCCTTTTGGCCAAGCTGAGGGCACGATGGATATGATGAAAGACTGGCAGAACCAAGATAACATGACGAGCGACGTTTGAAGGCAACGAGGTTGATGAGACTGTTGGTGCGAGAAGAATAGGCGAGAGAGAAGGTGGCGGGGGAGGAGGAGGAGGATGATGAATTTCTCATGATCCTACGCCTTTTTCCTATCTTATATGCGGACGCCTCTGCGACGCTCATGATGATGATAACGACCAAATTTTAACGACAAAGACTTCATAGTATGGGTGGCAAGAACAAAGACGATCACAAAAGAAATAAAAACAAAACGCTTTCAAGCTCCTTTTTTTGCAAAGACTGTTGAACTTTATGCTAGGTGACTATGACACAGGAGGGAGGTTGAAGGAGAAGTGATGGATCGGATGCTACTGTGGTCATCTCGTAAACTTGGGTAGAGGTTCGTGAAATTGACATTGACGTGGAGCCTCGATGGAGCCTGGTACCGGCAGCTTGCCGGATTCCCCGGAGGGTGTAGAGAGGCAGGACGGGATTCAACAGTGATGGTCGGTGGTGGGGAGCTAAGTTTCACCGGAGCCGAGGAGTCGGAAAGTGGATGATGTCTCGGTGGTTCCAATCTGACCGGCAAGGTAAGGTACTAAGGTGTTAGGCGACGCGGTGGTTTGCCATGTACGCGCCCGCCATTTAGCGAGTAAGCCCACCTTGGCTTATGGTATCCAAGATTCTTGGGCGGCACATTGGAAGCAGATCGTTCTGACGAACCGAGCAGGGGTACAGAGAGAAGGGAGATGGACGTGTGACAATACTTGGTATTTGCATGCTTCCGTGTTCGCGAGAAAGTATTCGAGGTACTTGTAGCTTTAGCTCGGGACGATACCGGTGCATTTGAGCAAAGTACCTTGGATAAACGTCGTAGATAAACTCGGCATGTCATCCGCATCATTCTTGTCCCTCTCCTGGACTACCGATCCTGCCTTGCCAGTTATGCATGTTCACTTTTCCTTCCGTTCTATCCTGTGTGCTCGAGCTGGATGGGAAGAGGGCGGGTGTTGTTCATTCAATCACGGGTGAGAGGATTCGCCTGGTATGTTCCGTCCATTCCAGAACATTATCCTGCCTTGGTATGCATTGGCTATGCGTAAATGATCTCGCATTGCTCCACGGCGGGAGTACACTCCTGGCATCTTTGCACAGAAACCACGCAGGAGGGAGGAGATGAGATGTCTGGCTGGAAGTTTCGGATGATCTGCTGTTTGCCTTTGGTCGTTGAAAGTTTGAGTGTATCGGTGGGATGGGACGGACGGAGCGGGAGTCCGTGTGGCGTGGTGCGGATCTCGGGCCGGGGTTTATTCGGATCTTAGCACGGAAGGGTGGGGAGGACCGGGCTACCCCTTCCAGAGGTGATAACTGACGGAGGGATCCAACAGACAAGGTGAGAGATCATGGCTCGACATTAGGGAAGAAAACCAAAGATGGAACTGAAGGAACCTGTCACTGCCCACTGCCTACAGGCTTACGAGACTAGTTGCAGGCTGGTATGCTGAGGAGCAGCATGAGAAGCCGAATGGCAAAAATGACCACGGCCGAAATTCGACGCCGGGCAGTCCCGGGATGTGGAGTGTGGATTTTCTTCTCTTTCAAGTTTGAGGTGGCATGTCACGTTGGTTCTGTGACCCCCACTTATCGGCGTCGTCAAGCGTTCTGGAACTGTGACTGCCTACGTTGCCCCCTACTCCATACATAGCAGAGGCTTGGGATGATGGATCGTGGGCCGGACGCGGTTGTTTGAAAGGAGAGGAGGTGAACACGTACGTCACGTCGCATGTTGAGCGATTTGAGGATCCTCTCCGCCGGGCCCATGGCACAAAGGCATTCCCCTCTCAAGGCCCCCAGCGTGGTTGGCTCAATTAACAATTTTCCTGGAAATCAATGTGGCTTTGCACAGAGGGGCGACTTTCCCTACTACTGCTCCTCCACCCCAGCTTTCCTAGTCACGAGATGGGGATTTCTGCCGCGGCATTGGACGACGTGTAGCATGAGGTGGGATGGGCGACTCCACTAGCTGAGGCGTCAAGGCGAAATCTGTCCTGACTTGGCCATGATCATTGAGAGCTGTTGGCCTGTTGCAGCGCAATGTGGGCGAGGCGCTGCTTCTCGAATGCGCCGAGACATGCTCACCAATCGAAGAGGAAAAAGGATGCCAAGGGAGAGATGTGAGTTTGAAGGCTTGATAGCTCCAAGGAAGGGATGCGACGCTGGCATTCGTCGTAATTGCGGCATGGATTCGTAAACACAACACGAGCGGCCGAGCCCTGCAGCTGAAGAAAGCTCGTGTTCCGGGCGTGAGCATCCTCTTGTCTCCTCCCCAAGGCTTGATCTTCCCGGTTCCCCAGCATCTGTTCCCGTGATGCTGACGGACGGGCAGAGATGCGCATCCATGATCCGGGGCACAAGAGGAGGCAAAAGTCGCGAATTTAGTACGGGCCCGCCGGTCAGCTGTCTTCGGATCTGTAGGGAGAGCCCTTGCAGTCTAGGTTTCGAGCGAGCCAGACTCTAGAGACAGTGGCCCCCGCGGCACGTCCAGATGCGGACTTCATACGGGCGGTCCAGTATCGGCTTGCGGCGTACGACGACGGTCTACCGTTTTGACGTCTCTCCCCTAAGGCTGGTAAAGATGCTGTGCACCGTCAATTGGCTTGGAGTTTGAAGACGAGACTGCGAGCGGCAGCGACAAGCAAGGGAGGGCGGAGGGCAGGCATGGGCAAATTCGTCAATCTCGGCAGGGGAAATTGGGGGTAAGGCTGGGTTGACGAGGCCTCGCGGAAACTCGAATGTGTTTGGCGGGTTGAGGTGATGTGCTTGTGTGCCAATGCAATGTGCTATGCGCCAGGAGTTATGTTGCCATTGGGGCCGACGAGTCGCCGCAATCTCGAACTGGAACGTCGAGTCCTCAAAGTCCCCATCGTACAGCTACACCTCCACTTTTTTCTCTCTGTTGCGGCCATTGAGAACCTGGAAAGGCTCGGAGGGCCGAGTATAGTGCCTCTTCCATTGCCGAACGTGTTGTGAACTTGTGATGGTGTACCTAGTAGGGAGTCCCGGTACCTATCCCCACACACGGATCGCCGGGAGGGTATGTATGTTTTCGTGCTTGTATGTAGCTGTTTCTGTAGTCTCGTCGGCTGTGCTCGTGCTTTCGTGCGGATAGTGGTTCTTTTGAGTTTGGAAATCGATGCTTTGTACAGATAGAGTAGAGGAGCGTACTCGGTAGGACGGGAGCGAAAGTCGAAAAGCTGGAGAAAGTGATGGGTGGCAGCCCCTGACAGCTGGGCCTTGCCTGAGCTTGGGGCTGGGCTGGGCGTTGCGGCGTAGCGTCGTTGCATGGCAGCATGGTCCTTTCCTTCCCTGGACTTTGCGACTTCTTCTTTTTTTTCCCTCCTCTCGCCTCGGAGCCCCACTCTAGTTGACGGGATGGGATTGGACGATGGGATCACATGGGTGCGCTGCGCATGGGGAGAGGAGGGAGGCCATTGGATGGGATTCCGCATTGGCCATGGGACGGTACGTCTTCCGGTCTACGTACCCTGAATTTCGATGAACCAGGAAAGAACGTTGAACAGTCCTACCTTCCTTTGGTAATCAACAACCTCAAATCTCTCGAGTACCTCATCCAGCTACAAGAATATATCTGTCTCTACCTTAGGCTATAATTGGAACGTCAGAGTTCGAGCATCGCCAAGTTATCTAGTCCATCCGGGCAGGCAACGTGGAATGGTGAATGGCTCTGATTGGGATAGGTATAAAAAAGTCTAGAACAACGTATCAAAATGCCAGACACTTTGCAGCCCAGGATGTTGGTGCTAATCCCGCCCGTTAGTGTACCCGTTCGAACCCCCCATTCCGCCCCTGGGCCCCTTCTCTTTCCCCCCTTTGGGTGCCCTGTGCTTCTTGCCGTGCTGCCCCCAATTGATTGCGATCGCAGGCAGCCCGGTCAAAGTACCGCACCATAGAAAACGCAGTGTTGAGTGACTTGCAGCTTGCAATTGACCGGGACCTTGGGGGGTACAGATGTCGTGTCATTTTTGAAGGTGCCTTCTCCCTCACCACCCTGCGCCTCTTTTCGCGTCTCTCCTGCTCTTTCTGCCTTCCCATCTGTGACCACTGACCACTGACCACTGACCAACCGTGGACCTCTGACCTCCCTTTTTTCCCCATCCCAACTTTCTGAACTCCCCTCGTGGCTTCCTTCACTGCACTCGCTCAACCTCTTGCCTTTTGCAACTTTCTCCTCCCAAAAGGTCTTCTTCCACTTTCCCATCTTCGGGTTCTACTTTCCACAAGCAGGATTCCATTGTATGCCCTTTTCGAGAAAAGGCACGCCTGTCTCTCTCCGTTTTAACAACCTTCTAATCGTCCATTTCTGGAACTGCAGAGCTACCCCTGTGGTCACCTCAACCAAATACACGCCTGTCCTCCTCTCTGAAAAAGCGCAGCTTCCCCTTGTTGCCAAATTCAGTCACACCGACCAGGCCAAGAGAACCTCTTCCCTCTTTCAACTCTTCACACACTCGTTTACATACGCACCTCACCCACGGAAGCTACCACGTCTTCCTTTCTCTGCGTCGCACAACGATATCGAACCATCACCTAACCCCTCAACTCCAATACCATCAACATGAAGGGTAAGCACTTGCCCCATACGAACAGCTACATGCGCTTCAGCCTGCCCCAGTCCCAGCCTTGCCCATCGATCTGCGATACTCGAGGCTGGCCGGCGGCAGGCGCAATATGTGGTCGGCAGTGACGCAAACTTGCTAACTTGCTTGAACAGCCATTATTCTCGTCGGCGGCTTCGGCACTCGTCTTCGCCCTCTGGTACGTTCATTCCTCTCCCTAGCTTGAACACACAGCACACAGCAGCAGCAGATTTCTGCCAGCGGCTGCTGTACCTTCCACACTGATCGAATATGTTACTGACCTGGTATTTCCAATGCGCAGACCCTCACCCTCCCCAAGCCCCTGGTCGAGTTCGCGAACAAGCCCATGATTGAGCACCAGATCGAGGCCCTTGCTGCTGCTGGCGTCACCGATGTTGTCCTCGCTGTCAACTACCGCCCCGAGGTTATGGAGAAGCACTTGGCAGAGGTGGGTCTTTCCATGAGCTTCCCCTCTGCAGCTACCATAATAAATACTGACTTCCTCCATCCATAGTACGAGAAGAGGTTCGGCTTGAACATCACCTTCTCCGTCGAGACCGAGCCCCTCGATACCGCTGGTCCCTTGAAGCTGGCCGAGAGCATTCTTGCCAAGGACGACACCCCCTTCTTCGTCTTGAACTCGGATGTCATCTGCGACTTCCCCTTCAAGGACTTGGCCGAGTTCCACAAGAACCATGGCGATGAGGGCACCATTGTGGTCACCAAGGTCGAGGAGCCTAGCAAGTACGGTGTCGTTGTCCACAAGCCTAATCACCCCACCAAGATCGACCGTTTCGTCGAGAAGCCCGTCGAGTTTGTTGGCAACCGCATCAACGCCGGCATGTACATCCTCAACACCAGTGTTCTCAAGCGCATTGAGCTTCGCCCCACCTCGATCGAGAAGGAGACCTTCCCCGCCATCGTCAAGGATGGTCAGCTGCACAGCTTTGATCTCCCCGGCTTCTGGATGGACGTCGGTCAGCCCAAGGACTTCCTTACCGGCACCTGCTTGTACCTCACTTCCCTCACTAAGCAGGGTTCCAAGGAGCTTGCCTCCCCCTCAGAGCCTTACGTCCACGGCGGCAACGTTCTGATTGATCCCTCTGCCAAGATTGGCAAGCACTGCAAGATTGGACCCAACGTGACGGTCGGCCCCAACGTCGTTATTGGCGACGGCTGCCGTCTTCAGCGTTGCGTTCTGCTGCCCGGTTCCAAGGTCAAGGATCATGCGTGGGTTAAGAGCACTATTGTCGGTTGGAACAGCACTGTTGGCAAGTGGGCTCGTCTTGAGAACGTCACTGTCCTCGGCGACGACGTGACCATTGGCGACGAGATCTACGTCAACGGTGGCAGCATTCTCCCCCACAAGAGCATCAAGGCCAACGTTGACATCCCCGCCATCATCATGTAAAACCAAAACCGAACAACCGGAAAAAACACTATACCCGGGCCTGGACGAACACTCTGAGGGTCCGCGCTCTTCACACTTCTTGTCTGCACGCCTGTTCTTATCGACTTTCTAATTTCAAGTTGCGATACGATTCACCACTCCACTCATGAGTCTTCAAACTTCAAGAAACGGGGGCGGAAACCAAACACTACATTTTTGGCTGGCGTCGGCAGGGGGAAATCATTTGGCGAGCACAGAAAAGCACTTGGCTTTGCGATGTTTTACTTACTTTTTTTGCGTTTGGGAAAGATGATGGTCCCCAATTTCGTGACGAAATGCAGACGAACGGTGTCGAGGGCTGTCACCCAGCTTGGAGGATATCTCCCTCGATGTGCCGTGGACATGGAAGACTCCCGACCGTGGGGTCATCTGTGAGACAGATGAGAATAAAGATGATACCTCTGAATTTGAGACCGGGAACGTGCTTTGAAGATGGTGACAATTCGTCGTGTTGCTCATGCGCATGTCATGCGAGTATCTCGTGATTTGATGTGGGGGGAAGGAGGGGTGGAGGGATACCTGAGATGACGGATCACATTTGCGCCTTCCCCGTGTGGATGGGTGAGTGGGTGCGAAAGGCAAGCAAGACAAGAAGCTGACTTGATAGGTATCCTGTCTAAACGAAACCAACCTTCCCCCAATATCATACCACCATCCAAAAAGAATAAAAAAAAATAGGCTTCTTTCTCCTTTTCTGTATACCCAAGTACTCCGAACAAAATCTTCAAACCCACATGCTTTCTACACTTTTTTACTCCGCATTATCACGCACCCAACCCCTCGACATCTCGACAGCCTGCTCCCACTTTTTGAACATCTTTTGGCTCGTCTCCCTGTCGAGCGCGGGCGTAAAGATCTTACGCCCGTTCTGGTTGACGTGCTTGAGGTCCTCGAGCTCGTCCCAGACGCCCAGCGCGAGGCCGGCGGCGATGGCGGCGCCGAGGGCCGTCGTCTCGCGCATGGCGGGGCGGTCGACGCGGATGCCGCTGATGTCGGCCTGGGACTGCATGCAGAGGTCTGAGTTGGAGAGGCCGCCGTCGACGGCGAGGTTCTCGAGGGCGTGGCCCGAGTCGTTGGCCATGGCGTCGAGGATGGCTTTTGTCTGGTAGCATGTCGCTTCGAGGGTCGCGCGGGCGATGTGGCCCTTTTGGGTATGGGCTGTGATGCCGACTGTTTTGGGCATGTTAGTAAGGTAAGGGGTGTTGATTGGGAGATATTGACTTACACAGAGTTCCCTTTGCGTCGTCGATCCAGTATGGCGCAAAGAGGCCGCTAAAGGCCGTCACGAAGACGACGCCGCCGTTATCAGGTACGGTCTCGGCCAGCTCCGAGATGCGAGACGAGTCTTCCACGAAAGAAAGGTTCTTGACGAGGAACTTGACGCCCGAGCCTGCGACTGCGATGCTGCCCTCGAGGGCGTACACGGGCTTTCTACCCTTGCCGAAATCGTACGCGACGGTAGCCAGCAGACCCGACTTGGATATGACGGGCTCCTCGCCAACATTATACAACAGGAAGCAGCCCGTACCGTACGTGTTCTTTGCCTGGCCCGGGGAGAAGCCGCACTGGCCGACGAGGGCGGAGGATTGGTCACCCAAGCAGCCCGCGATGGGCACGCCCTTGAGGACGCCGCGAGCAAAGGAGCCGAAGGCGGTCGGGTCGGAGGAGGGGACGATCTTGGGGAGGTGGATCTTGGATTGGTCGATGCCGAAGAAGGAGAGGAGGGTGTCGTCGTACTTGAGGGTGCGGAGGTTCATGAACATTGTGCGGCTGGCGTTCGTCGAGTCGGTGACGTGGATCGCGTCGTCGCCCTTGTCTGCGCCGCCATTGAGGCGGTAGATGAGCCAGGAGTCGACGGTGCCGAAGGCGAGGTGGCCCGCATCGTAGGCTTCGCGAACGGAGGGGACGTTGTCGAGGAGCCAGCGGAGCTTGACGGAGGAAGGGTAGGTGGACAGGGGCAGACCGCACAGGTCCTGGAGAGCGTCTGCGCCGGGGCGGGCGCGGAGTTCGCGGACGAGGGAGGTGGTACGGGTGTCGGGCCAGACAACGGCGTGGTGGAGGGGTTCGCCGGTGCGGACGTCCCAGAGGACGGTGGTCTCGCGCTGGTTGGTGATGCCGACGCCACGGATGTTGGCAGCGGAGTAGCCTTGTTCAGCGAACTGGGCCATTGCCTTTTCAACGCATTCTTCGACGGAGGAGAGGAGCTCGAGGGGGTCGTGCTCGTGCCAGCCCGAGTGCGGGTAGTGGTTCTCAAACTCGATCTGGTGGCTTGCCACAGGGTCACCGAGGCCGTTGAAGATGAGGAAGCGAGTCGAGGTCGTGCCTTGATCTATGCTGCCTACGAACCAATGTTCTTTGAGTTCTTCTTGGGTCTCTGTGATGCCGGCTGGGAGGTGTTCGG